CCGCACTTCAAGAGGGATGTGGATAACCTGGAGAGGGTCCAGAGAAGGGCCACTCGTATGGTTAAGGGCTTGCAGACCAAGCCCTACGAGGAGAGACTAGAGAACCTGGACCTTTTCAGCCTCCGCAAGAGAAGGTTGAGAGGCTACCTTGTGGCTGCCTATAAGTTCATCACGGGGGCACAGAAGGGAATTGGTGAGGTTTTATTCACCAAGGCGCCCCCGGGGGTTACAAGAAATAATGGCCACAAGCTAGCAGAGAGCAGATTTAGATTGGACACTAGTAAGAACTTCTTCACAGTTAGAGTGGCCAAGGTCTGGAACGGGCTCCCAAGGGAGGTGGTGCTCTCGCCTACCCTGGGGGTCTTCAAGAGGACGTTAGATAAGCATCTAGCTGGGGCCATCTAGACCCAGCACTCTTCTCTGCCTATACAGGGGGTTGGACTCAATGATCTATTGAGGTCCCTTCTGACCCTAACATCTATGAATCTATGAACTATACCTCCAATCAGGCAATCCCAGATCCCTCAAGAACAGCTGTTTGTTAATACCTACTAGAATCACAGCCAATGGGTTCAGTATCTAAACTAGTGGTTTCCAACCTTTTTTTTCTGCACCCTACTGCTGGGAGCAGAGTGTGGTAGCAGCGGCGGCGGTGACCCGGGGGCAGAGGAGCTCCCAGCACGTGGCGCAACTCATCTTTTCTGTGCAGCGTCACTGGCATTGCCCCCACGACCTGGGGTTGGGAATCGCTGATCTAAACCAAAGCAGTATCTGAACCCAGTTTTACAGAGAGACTACATGTAGGACAAGTGGTGTTCCACTGATAAAACAGCTGCCACTTATCTGCTGGTTGAAAAGCAATAGGTGTACACTCTTGAATTCTAGATGTAGCAGAGAAGGGCATTCACTGCTATGAGCCCTGTGTGCGCGCAACTGGCATTTCTAGTCATGTTCCTAACTAAAGACTTAAAGATGTACCTTTGGGTAAACAGTCCCGTGAAACACAAAATCACGGTGCTAAGACTTCACAGGCCTTTGCAAAGGTAGGCCTGGATCTTTATACCACCTTAGAAGAGGAAATAAGCAGAGAGAGGGGAAGAGGCTTGCGCAAATTTAGTCATAAAATCAGTGGCAGAGTGAAAACTAGAACCCAGGAATCGTGAGCCCAAGGCCAGTGGTAAACCCAAGGGATTCCCTCCTGCTAGATGCCGGGCATTGACATGCATGGTGCTTCAGGGTTAATCTCCTAGCTAGCATGGCATCCTCATCTAGAGTTTCTGAAGCAGCCCCTGCATCGTGGTGCTGTGTGCACCAGTCATATGGTACAGGCATTCACAACTGACAAAGAGGCTGCAGTTGCCTTGGATTGCATCAGCCAAGGACTGCATCAGCTGTGGAGTCTAAACTCCAGTGCAGTCCTCTGGGGTCAGGCTGAGATGAGCTGCCAGGGGAGTCAGGGCTGGAACACTCCAGGAGCACATGACTCCAGCCATCAGGGCTCTCGCCACCACCCCTACCAGCAAGGGTACTGGCACTTGCAATAAGTAGATTTCCAGTTATATCACAGGAACAGATGCCAGAATAGACCTTCCTAGGTCAGAGGTCCATCCAGGCCATGGACATAAGTTTCTTCTCCAGCCACAGCTGCTTCAGAGGAAGACACAAGATCCCCTCCAGTGGACAAAGACAGACTAACAAATTCCTATGAGGGAATTTTCTTCCCCTTTGCCAACAATAGGCAAGGGCTCTGCAGTATGGTTAGTAACTGATCTTGTAATATTTCACTGTGGGTTTCCCCCGTCACATGGAGAAAGCAAACTTCCTGTCATCACCCCTGCTTAGTTGTATGAGAACAACACCACTCTCCAGTGTAGTACCCTAGGACACTCCTTCCCATGGGATCTCACAGGGGTGTCCTAGGCTCAGCCTTTACCCACAGTGACACCGGTGCTGATTCGGTGCTTGGGGGTTTCCCCTATAAGCCTGCAAGACAGCAGCCACAATCACAAGAGAATTTCATCCCTGTTTTTGTCCATTTTTCTTCATCTACCAGAGAAGTTTCATTAATAGGAAATGCAGATTTGGAGAAAAGGCATCATTTCCCTGCCTCTCTCCCTCGAGACAATAGCAAAAGCTTGTTGGGAATCTGCATAAAAGTGTGGGGAAGGGAGGGATAAATGGCCTGTTTGACAGGTCCCCTACACCACTTCCTTTACAGCATTTGAGATATTCACACAGATGTTACCAGCCTCACCACAGGCAGCAGATACCGAGACCTCCCTTGCCAAATCCAACTTCACCCTGATACTTGTCTGCCTACCTATCATCCTGGAAAGCCCCAGCTGTTTAATGCCCACCAGGACTCACTCCTAGGTGGAAGGAGACCAGCACTCACCTTCCAGACTGCATTTTTAACCATTGGTCAAAAAGCTTTTCCAATTAAAGTGACTTGTTTCTTAAGTGCCTGAAAACCAGACTCCCTCCATTCCCTCTCCTGGAAAGCTGGGATCACTTTAAAGAGAGCCTTTGGGTAATAGAAACTGCTCCCTCCTACATTGCTGGAATTCCACCTTGTGACAGGCAGCAAAATGCAAGCCAGCTGTCCTGCAACTGCAGCTTCCTGAACTCTACTCCCCTTCCAGCTTCCCATCCCTGGCTTGCCAGGGGCCACTGGCTTGGACAGATTATTGCATCTAGTCCAGCAGCCTGTTTCCTCTCTCCCTCACCAGACAGGCTTGTTAATGTTGTTCAGAGACCAAATGGGTCAGAAACCAAGGCCTCCTTTCAGCTGCCCTGCACTGCTTGAAGGCAGGAGTGAACCGGAGTGGGGGAGGGGTGGAATCCTTTCACTGCCTAGCAGCTGCAGCCCCACCATCACTATACCTGCAAGAAGGTCTTTCAGACCCTCTCTAGAGTATCTCCATTTTCATAGTGGTTACAGGTATAAGGAAAAGGAACATGGAGCCAGCATAGCTCAGTCCCTCAGACCCACATAGAGGAGCTCACTGGTTCATCTTGCAAAAGGATGGCCTGCCCTTGTCATCCATCATGCGAGAGCCAGGCTCCCCATGTTTCAGCACTGCCCGACCTCTTGGACGGTGCAGACCAGTATGTGCACCAGTTGCCTCCAGGAGGAAGACAAGACTAGAAAAGCTAGTCTACTAGCATCCTACTGCTTGTAAACTTGTCCTATGGCACAGGATGACTGAGAACTGAATGACTGCCTGGGCCACCACATAGGGAGACAAAGGTTTTTTGAGCAGGCTCCTTCCAAGCCAAGCTTGATCTCCCCTCTTCCTTCCTTGGCTAGAGAGGCCTCTCCCACGCAGGAGTCTACTTCATGCAGTGGTCTCAAGGGACTTGGATGAGATAAAAAAAAACAAAACAAAACAGATGGGCTGCAGTTTTCTTTAGCAAAACAAACCAGTTTATTTACACAATACACTTAAATACAGAATATAATAAATAGAAAATATTCAGGTTGTAACCAATTCATGTAGTTACAGCACACAACAATACAGGCTGAGCAAGGGAAAGAAAAAAAAAAAGAAAAAAGAGAAATCACCACTTTAGGCAGAGAAGCAAACACAAGTTCAGTGTAGCAGGAAGCAGGTAAGTTGGTGCAGCAGAAGACAGAGGAGGGCTCTCACAGAGCATGTCCCCAGGTCCTGCTACTAAAGTGCAACAAGCCCAGGGGCAGGGGGGCGGGGGGGGAAATCTAGGTTGAAAAAGACTAAAAATATCACCCAAGCAGGTTTTGGGAGTGACTGTTTTCATGGTGTACCCAAAGAACAACCCATACGCCGTTCGGGATGGGTCATTCCCCAACTATCCCAGCAGACTGACATCAGCCTGAGTTTGGAGGCCCCTTCACAGCCAGTCCCTAGCACTTGGAGTTCTTGTCTTGACTCTATTGGGCAAGCCCAGAACAGACTCCAGCTTAAAGAAAGAAGAAGTTCAGAGCACCCCCTGCAAGGTGTTCTTTGTTTCCTAGACAGACTTAAGAACTCCAGCCCAGAGATCACAGGGCTTTGAAATGGGAACCTTCCTGATCCTGAGCTCCCATCCCACCTCCACATCTCTTCTGCCAGCCCCTTGCTCACACAGCCCAACAAGTCACTGATGCAGACTACATGGTTATTTATTTGGACAGTTCAGAAGTACATGTGATCTATTGGGGTTGGCAGATCATGCCAGAGCTAGGGGAAGAACAGAGTATGAACTAGAAAATACAGACAGCAACACAGGACAGTACCTGCTGAAACTCAAGTCATAGGCAAGCCCTTCATATACCAAAAGGCCCAAGCAGAACGCGCAATTGCTGGGGAAAGGTACACATGAGGGAACCTCAGAGCACTAGAGCCAGTTTGCATGACTCCCTGCTCATTTGGGTGCCATTTTCCTGCAGAAGGAGCTTGCCTCTTCTTTCCAAGATCTCCTGTGGTAGAGGCCTGGGCTCCTGGCATTTCACCCATCACCATTCTAGATAATTCCAAACAAAAGAAAGAGTAGTACGTTGCTATTAGTTAGATTTCCCTGGGTAGGAATTAAGGAGCACCCTTTCGTATCTGGCAGTCACAAAGAACCCAGCTTTTCCTGTAGCAGACAGACCCATCCTACTTAAGAAATGGAAGTGTAAAGAGCATCAGACAGAAGCCCAGCTGACAAACAGCATCCTCTCCACATGCCAGTCCATCTCCCCTCCAAAAAGCAGAGCCACTTGGAACTTGTGCTTCCAGTCAGTTCCCGTAAAGCTCCCCACATTGCCAGCAGGGAGGAGAGTACCCCAAAAAAACAAAAAAAGAAAAAAAAGTTGTCACAGTCCCTCAGCTCAGGGCTCAGCATGCTCTTTTCTTTAAAAACCTGCTATTTGCATAAAAATCCACTTGTAAAATATCTCCACTCAGTGTCCGTTGTGCAATGGAAGATGGAGGGGAAAAGGATCAAGAAAGAGAAGATGGACCAACTTCCTTAAAAAAAAAAAACAAAAAAAAACCACAAACCAAACCCAACCCAAAACTTGGATCCCATTTGATGTGGCTGTCAGAAAAAAAAAAAAAAAAAAAAAAAAACACAAAGAAGATAGCCTGTTTAGAGGCATGCAGAATAAACATGCTCAGAAAGCTGGGCAATTGGCTCACAAGAGAGGGTGAAGTTGGAGGCACCAGGTCTGGTTGGGCCCCCTCCCCCAAAAGAGGATCAAAGCTTCAGGTAATATGTTACTGTCAGTAGACATAGAGCCCTCAATAGCTGAACCACTAACTATCTGCAGGTACAGGACTCTGCTATCATGTCTTCATACTCTTTGTAGAGGATGCTGCCGTTCTGCTCAATCATCAGGACGCTGATGGGGCTGTATTTATAGGGCACACAGGAAGGCCGGGGCACACTCTGGTCCACCAGCTCATTAATGAAGTTCTGTACAATGGCATGATTTGGCGAGTTGTAGCCATAGCGTAGGATTCGGGGGCAGTTGCCTTTGCAGTACTTGGGGTTGTAGCTGTGGGGGGCGATAATCCAGTGGTCCCAGCCCAGCTGAGCAAAACTGACCCGGAAGGAGTGCAGAGAACACTCATCTTTCTCATTACTGTTCTTCTGGAGGTAGCTGGGCAGATCCAGGACAATGTTGCCTGCCTGGCGCACCTTGCGAGTCCGCACAGTCCCAGATGGAGTCTCTTCCGAGGAAGCTTTCCCTAGTTTCGCCTGGAGGCCTTTCCGGGTGTCATTCAAGTAGAGCAAAAGGAAGGGGTCATTCAGGGAAACAGTCCCATCCCAGCCTCCTTCCAATCCCAGCCTGGTGCACATGTGACTGACGCTGAGTAACTGGCTCTTCTTGGTGTCCCAGGCCCATGGCTGAAGGTGAGAGGTGATGTCCATTTCTACCCAGCCGTTCTTCTTAGGGAGGATGGTGTTGTTCCTCACGCGTCTCTGAGGCAAGACAGGGTTGAGAGGGAGCTTTGGATCGCCATTTTTTCCAGACAGCTCAACTGTGCACAGAACCTGAGCATGAGCTGTCGACAGAGTCTGTGAATAAACTACAGCAACTTTCACCAGGTGCTCCACCTCAGGATGGACTTTCAGGTGGTAGTCAAGGGTCTGTGCGCGCCAGGGGCCTGCAGAAGGAAGAGGAGATGGAGTTAGTTTTTTGCCTTATTTTTGGGGAAACCAAAACCACCTTAGCTTTAAAGTTTTCTTACGAGACATTCAGATGCTCCCGTCTGGTAGTTTCCTGAGCTTACTCATCAAGCCTCACCACCCCCCCCTCCCCCCCGAGATAACCCAGCACCTCCCCAGGCTTTTCTTGCACCCTCCACTATTTATCCATTGTCCAAGGCCCCTCTTAAGATGAGTCCACATTGCTTCTCCTTCTCCATGATAGAGGAAGAAAGGATCTACAGAAAACTCTTCTTCCCCCATTTCAATTCAGTTACCACTCCAGCTTTATTTTTAAAGAAAGATTTACAGACAAAACAGGTTCACACCAGGGGATAGAACCAGAGGGAAGCAATTTCCTCATTGGAGGAGTCTCACACGCATTGTCAGAACTTGTTTTGGTTAGTCCCTGTGATTCAAATACTCGAAAGAATGAAAAACTTGATCTTTATCCAGTTTCCAAAATACTTGCAGAGGGCCCCCAAAGAACCCCCCAGAAAGAAGGAGCTGACAATCTTCCTGAATTCCAGCCTGTTTATACTTCAGAAAGAGTAAGAGAGCATGAAACAAGCCATTCTACCCTTGACTCCCCATCCCTAAAGATTTTGATGATTTCCAAATGGATAGGAGGTTCAAGAGAGGCCCCAAGTTTAGATGGAAAGCCCCAGACAAGCAGACTAGAGTACCAGAGGGTCCTGTACAGGGCTGACTGAAGGAGCAGAGACAAAGGAAGAGGGAATTTCCCCATCAGCACCATACAAATCAGTGACAAAGCTGGGGAAGATCCTAGGCATCAGAGGACATCAGTTTTCCCCTTAAGATGAGGGCGATTCATCATTCCTTGTGGCAGTTCCTCCCCACCACAGGGCACCATGCCAAGGCTTGCCTCACTTGTCAATGACTGATATCCACATGCAAAAGGCTTGTATGAGTGTCTAAAGGTTAGAGTACAGTGACCTCCGGTGTCCATGATTCCATCCACCAATTTGCCAGGGACAGACTATGCAACCTTGGCCATTTCACCCTTGGGTTTCATTTCTATCTCCGAGAACAGGCCATTGACACCTCCATGATAACAGCATTTGAGACACCTGTAAGGTACTCCAGGTGTCCTCTACAAGAGGGGTGCAACCTGTCAATCCCATCCTTTTATTAAGGGCCTGGGAAAGATTGGTGCTGCTGCTATCTGGCACTTTTGTGAAGGGAACTGCAAGATGTTTGCCAAATGGCTTGAGCTGCCTGCACAAGTGAGAGCTGTAGTCTTTTACAGCTGCAGCCAAGAGCTGCAATTACACAGTGCTCAGGCCTTGTAAACAGAAGCCATCCCCCCTATAGTTTCCTTATGGCTATCCACTGAGAGTCACTGGCTGCTAATGGGAAGTGCTGTCACTGCCCATGTTGCGTCTGTCCCTAAATAACTGAATGGTGTTTTGCAAGTCAGCAAGTCCATTGCTCAGGAGTTTGCTCCGCTACTGAGGCTGGTGCCAGCCAGGTCTTCATACAGCACAGAACTGGACTCCATATAGTCATCCCCAGTAACGGATATGGAGAGAACCCCCGACCAGGCATCTAGACAAATTTAAAAGCAAGCACATCTAACATCAGAGTCCATAGCTACTCCAACTGGGCAGGACTTGTACTGAGGCCTTGATTCTCCACAGAGCTGGGTATCCACATCACTACTCAGCAAGAGCTGCAACTCAACCTAGCTGGCCACTAGGCCATTACTGCCTTCACCTTGGACTTAAAGCCCACCCTTTGTGAACAGGAGTCCTCAGTAAGAGGGATGGCTTTTACAGCCCTATTACAATACCCTTCCCAACCACATGGTTGGCTTAGACTGGACTGCCTGCCAAGGGTTAAAGCAGCTGCTCCTCACAGCAAGACCTCCTACAGACAGAGCCTTCATTGAGTGTCAGGGGAGGTCAAGGCCAGGAGGGTCTGGTTATGTTTCTACAGGGCTACAGAAGGGCTGCCTCTCCAGAGGCCGAGTGCTCCAACATACTGGAACACAAGTACTCAGAAGGCAGCTTTCTTTTGTCTTCAATTTTAGTGGAACACAGTTTGGAGGTGCAAGTCCCTCAGCAGAATGGGTCTCTGACCAAAGCTCAGGAAGGCTTGGAAGCAGACAGCAGCTCTATGCACTCTGCAGTGAGGTTTGGCAGCAGAGAGGGGACAGAGCAAGGAGCAGAATCCACCCCTGTTCCCCACAGCTTGGTACAATTCCCATAGCTAGCGCACAATCTGCAGCCAGCTAGAAGCACAGAGGTGGGGCTCCCTGAATCCAGCCCGTCACTAGCACAGCCTGCTTCAGGCATTGGTGCCATTAGCTATAGGCAAGTGCCTCTACACTAGTGAGAGGCCAAGGTGTTGCCATACCTAGAAGGGGCAGCAGCACTCATGTTCCAGGCCAGTGCAACATGACAAGTCATTCTGGAGTGAGAGGAGACAAAGAGGTCCCTTTATTCATCCAGCCCCAGACCTCCTCTTGCTTCAGTTTTGCATTGCAAGACCCAGAACAACAACAGGCTTTTGCCTTTAGCAATATTAGGTTACATTACATGCATAAAAAGCCATTGGCAAAACACAGTAGCAGAGCTCATGCAGTTATTCCAATGCATACAGCACCCATAGATCAGAAGAGCAAGTGCCTACAGCACAGGCTTGCAGGTACTAGAGGAAGCTACCAAGAAGCCGATGCCTCCTGGTTACCACCTCCTATAGGCAGAGTCAGGGTTACAGTAGAAGGGAAACAGCCCGACACCCCCTGTCTGACTCAGCAATGCTCCCCCCCATTTATTCTGGGGTCCCTTATCCCCTTGGTCATAGCACAGCCCCATCCTTCTCCAGCTTTTCCCACTCCTAGCACCATATGGCCCCCAGGGGCACCAAGCTCTGTTCCCTGCTTTCCCCACTGCTCAGCAACTCACTTGCTCCAGACTGCCTCCTCTTGCCCGAGGGCCTGACCAGGCGCACAGCATTGGTGTCCAGTCGATAGTCTTGGCGGGGTCGCCCATTGTGGTCAGCAAAGCTCCGGTACAGGTTGAGCATGTAGCGCAATGGCTGCCCACCAGTCATTTTCTTCAGGCGACCCTGGGGCCGGGCAGTGGGAGCCTGCTCCATCAACTCCTGGATGAGGGGCATGGGAGGTGTCCCAGCCAGGGCACTCAGCTCCTTCTCCTCCTCACCCCAGCTCAGATCCAAGGAAAACAGCACAGCAAAGAGCAACAAACCCCAGAGGGAGCAGAGAGCGCCCATTGCACTCAGGGCTGGGGAGCAGGATGGGGTGCTAGGACTGTGGCAGCAGGGAGGCTTTGGGGGCAGTTGTTAGGAGATCCCCCAAACAGCTAAAACATCTTCCTTCTCCTCCACAGGAAGGTAGAAGCTTTCTCCCTAGCACTGGCTGACTCCCAGGGTCCTTCCTCTGCTTTCACTCAGCTGTTCTCATGCTGGTCCCTGCAGCCACTTGCTGGTCAAAGGAATCAGGCAATGTAGCTCTCTGCTCCTCACTAGCAGTAAAGGAAACCCTTCAGGATTAAAACTCAGCCCCTAGGAACCTAGTGCTAGGTGCTCCTCTGACTACAGCATAAAAACTCCACTGGCCTGGGGTGGGGGCAGAGCAAGACAAGCTCTCAGCAAGGGGAAGCAACTTTAAAATGCCAAGGAAATCCCTTGAGCAACAGCAATTGCAGCCCCCACCCCTTCCTCTCTGACCTTGTCCAGTGGGGTGAGAGGTCTTGGGCCCCATGCCCCATTTTAAAGGCACAGGGGCAATCAACATTTAAAGGGACAGGAGCTTGTGGTGCACACTCATCTCCAGTTGAAGTAGAGGGCCTGGGGGAAGGACAGACAGACAGATAGTCTGGGTGTTCTCTGCTGGTTGCCATGACCTGTGGCTAATGTATCAGGACCCACCTGGATGTTAGCCACAGTGCTGTACCATGTGTGTCTGGGAGGAGAGGTAGAAATGCCTGCATCTGCACCTGCATAGGCTCTCAGCCCATCCAGAGCTCCTTGGTGCTCTGCTGCTACAGCACACCTCAATGAGTGGGGAGCATGAGGGGTGGGGTGCAGCTGGCCTGGTGGGGATCATGGGGCTGAGGAGAGATTGTGGAACACCTTGGGCTCCTCTACATGCTACTGCTCCAAGGCTTTCCCAGTGCTTGGCAGCCTGGTGTCCGGAGACCTGGCTGCAGTTCCCAGGGTCTGCAGCAGAACTGCCATGCAACCAAGGCAAAGTCATTTACTCCCTGCCACCTTGCCTCACTGTTCGTGTCTGAGGTAGAAGGGAGGCCATCCTGAGCTGCTTTGAGAGTTGCGGAGGCTGAGTGCAGCTGAATGTTATTAGAAGGGAAACTGAGGTGAGAGGGGATGTGACTTAGCCAAGCATGTTCAGAGCTGGCAACAGAGAGAGCCCAGTGCACCTGGTTCCCAATCTCTTTGCTCCAACCAACAGGTGAAGCTGTCAGCCACTTCCCCACCCTGCTGCAGGTCACATGGGATGCTGCCTCCTCACTCAGGTCCCAGAGCCGACCAGACTGGGCTGCTGCGAGGAGATGGGGTAGAAAGGTTTTCACCCAGATACCCACTTCTCCTGAGCCACCTGGCACCTGCAGCCCAGCAGCCACAGCCTCATTTGGGCTTCCCACACCATGGTTGGAGCTCCTCCTCTGCAGTGAGCTTTGGGAGAAAGGGTTAACGGGACTCCTCCTGGGCAGCGGGGTCCAGTGATCAGAGCCAGAGCTTGGGAACCCAGTCTCCTACTTTCAGTTCCCAGCCCTACTGCTGACCCTCCTGGACAAGCTGTGTGTCTCTGGTTCCCTTCCCCCCAGGGGAGTGGAGGCATGACTGAAGGCTAGATTACTAGCCCACTGCTCCCAGGCCACCTGAGCCCTAAACGAAGCCTCCTTCCCATGCTGTGGAGCTGAGGATATTGCCATGGCCCTCACACTTTGGGAGATGGACGAAGGGCCATGGAAGGCAACACCAGTGGAAAGGGCTTCTCCCCCTTCCTCTCCCACCAATCTCTTCTTCCTGCTCAGCTCCCCTCAGATAAATATATTAGATGCCCCCATCCAGGGCATCTCAATCCTGGCCCTGCAGCTGCCAGTGCAAACTACCCCTTTCAGGTTGAGGCAGAGCTTCCTCCTCATTGCCAGCCAGCAGCCTGAAGGTGAATAGCTCTAGGTGACAGTCCCTGGGCCCCGAGCATGTCAGCAGAACCAGAATCTCTGAAGGCGTCTCCTGGTGCCATCATGCACTGTGCTCACTGGGTCTGTGGGAACGGAGCTGTGCTTCCTGCAGTCTGGCCCAAGCACAGCTCCTTGGGCACTACCCTTCAAGCCTGGCCCTCTGATCAGGGAAGGGAAGGCCTGTCTGTAGGAGACTTTCATCTTTGTGACCATGTGGGTGCACATCAGTGTTTCTCCAGAAGAGGTCACTGTCAGTCTTTCCTTCAGCTTTGCACCTGCTCTGCGCCTTGGGCTCTTTGTGTGCAGGGAATAGTAAGAGATGTCCTCTTTTCTTTTAGAAGTCACCAGGACAGCCAGAAGACTGAAAAGATATCACCCAAATCCCTTGGGCTTTGGCTGGGTTCTGGTGTGCAATTTCACTGCCTCAGTCTGTGACAGAGGATGGAAATTATTCCAAAAGTGCTTCTCAGAGGAGCTGGAAGCTCCAAGTGTTTTCCCACCTGATAAGTGTTTTCCCACCGTATGCCCCATATCATTGACCTTTATGAAAACACTGGACTGAGTGACATACCTGAGGCTAGAGATGAAGTCAATAGCATTGCTGAGAACTGAACCCAGATGTCCAGGGATGAACCCCAGAAATGAACTGCATGCATTAGGCTGTGCCTAGCTTTTAAGGCCCGAAGCTGTCACTGTGACCATCTATCTCAACAGCTCCCATGCAGCGCCAGCCCCAGAATCCACCAACAACTCCTGTGCCCAGCTCAGAACTCCTGTCCTTGTTGGAAGTGGCCTTTTATTCTCCAAGTGATAAATAGCTCACAGCATCCCTAATCCCAGTGGTTAACTCCCCACAAAACGTGGCTAGGACTACACCTGCCAGTTGGTCTGATGTCAATGAACATGAGTGGGTCAGCCCCAGGGAAGTCGGTGGCAAGGCACCAGCTGATGCCGGGGCTGCACTCAGAGTCTCTCTGGGGTAGATATGTGCCTGGCTCTGCTGAACTGGTCCAAAAGTGGAGGGTGCTGAATAGTCAGCTGCAGTGTCCTACACTTAAAAAAAAAAAAGAATTTTTTTTGTGTTCCAAGCCAAATCAGCCAAATCAATTCCAAACCTGTAAGTCAGTCAAGAACCATAAGTAGCCCTACTACCAGCAAATATCCTCTACCCCCACCTAGGGCTTCAGATGTTTCCAAATCATTTGGCAGGCATCCTACATGCAGACCCAAGCTGGATGCCCCTGAGTTTTGCTTGCCCTCAGCTGTATGGCCGCAGGAGGAAGCTAGGAAGGAATCTCCCATTTCCATAAAGTGGGCATAAAGCCAAGATTGTCCCACTCAAGCAGCAACTAGGAGGTTAACTATATATATATATATACTGAACTCCCTTACAGCGATGCAGGTAATATATATATACCTGCATATATATATATTATATATAGAGATTATATATATATTACCTGCATCGCTGTAAGGGAGTTCAGTGTCTGTATCTGTGTGGGGAGGGGCTGCAGGTACCAGACAGACTGGGCCTATGCCTCTGGGCAGTTAGGGTGGGAGATATCATGGCTTAGCAAAAGTTAACAGGAGCTCTGCCTGAGAATGGGCAGCTTGAGGAGGACAGAGATTATCAGTGCCTCACAACCCTGAGCTCTGCCCCCACACCCTGGGACCTGAGCCACCCTATAGCTGCCTGGGATCTGCAGCACTCCATGCAAGTCCAGCCTTTGGTTTCCCACACACTCAGCTCTTACCTGCCAGCACTCAAATGCTACAGACAGGAGTTATGAGGAGCTGTGCGGAGAGGCTGCATTTCAGTGGGAGAACAGTTGCTGACTGAAGGAAGGTATGAGTATATGTGTGTGCAGGGGCTCTGTGAGGGGTTTGTAGATATGAGGTTGGGTGCAAATACGGTCTAAAAGGCGGTGTGTGTACCATGAGTGTATCAGTGCTGTTTGGGGGTCTGTGTGAGGAGTGGTGTTTAGAATTCAGGGATATGCATATGGGTAGGGTTAATGGATGTATGGATAGACCCTTGAGCTGTGTATGTGTGTGTGTGTGCTCAGCGGGCGTGTAGGCACTGTGTGAGGGGTGGTGTGTTTAGAGTTCAGGGGTGTGTATGTGTGTAGGGCCTGAGGTTGTGCCTGTTTGATGAGTGTGCAGGTACTGTGTAGGGGTAGGCACACGTGTGTGCATGCTCACATGGTATTTTCCTGCTG